CTACTATCAATTACTAACACACGCGCCGTTCCCAATACAACACCGTAACCCGAGTGAACGTTATTGGAATGAAGCGTATCTATCGTATAACGCTCTGAGTCACTCATAGCCTGAGACGAGACGAGTGCTTGTTGCACTTGCGAGTCAGAGCACAATGGACGGGTGGATGTTGGCACGAGCGTGTCGCTCACTGGCTCCCTATGCAATAGATAATGATGTAGTGACGCACATACACCACAAGACATCTCACTTTTACAAGTTGAGGTATCATGATTTCCTTTTAGGCAATTATGACACAATTTTAAGGTATTGACACGGTCAATCCTTTTATCTACGGTCAATTTACGAAATTGATCGCACCTATAAATCATGTGATTTTGATTGCAATGCGCGCAAATTATTTTTTTATTTTTATTATAATTCGACACATTAGTATTTAAAACTGTCTTTGAATAACTTTTGTAGTGGTTATTATTGTTGCCTTTGTAATTGTTACATATAGACTTATTTCTTGATTGTAACGACATCGTACTATTCGATGAATGTTCGAGTACTTTAACTTGTTTATTTACAAAACTAATTAATTCCGAAAAAGGTGGAAGTGAATTTTGATCCCGATTTTCTTCAAAAAGCCTCCTAGTATGCGCATCCAACCCACGTAAGGCTAAATGACAAAATAAATAGTCATGTAAATTTTTAATTTTTAATGCCTCGATGGCTTTAAAAGAGTGATCGAATGTTTCGATAAATAAAGTAAGATTTGCGGTAGTATCTTTATTTAACGGCGTAAAGTTTATCATTTTGTCGATGTACCTACCCACGAGTATTCGATCATCTTGATATTTATTACATAAACTTTGCCATACGACAGTATAATTAGCGGCTGTTATGGGCAATTTTTTAACAATGTTTAATGCCGAACCTTTAACACATGAAAGCAAATAGTGAAACTTATCTATTTCATCGAAATCTCGATTGTGGACAAGTGATACAAATGTATCGTAGAATGTGGTCCACTTCTCAATATCACCATCGAATTCAAATAAACGTAATTTAGGTAATGACGGCCTTACATCACTCCTATCTTTCCTACTGAGGGATGCCTGCTCGTCCGGTTTTAATCTTAAATATTGCAACCTACATGCCTTATAAAGTTCATCAAATGTATCTAATTCTCGCGTTGACAATCTTGTCTCCGGTTTTAATGATATATCTATTTCAATAATATTTAACACTGTTTCTTCAAACTTTGAGCGGACACTTTCTAATTCGGAATAATCGGCTAAGAAATTCTGAATTTGTGTGGGATCATTTATTTGGGATCTCGCGATATCGAAAACCTTTTGTAATTTAGCAAATAGGTATTCCTTTTTAAAAATAAGTGTTTGCCTTTTTATTTGTAATTTATCCGACATTATGAACAAATTACAAAATTAATACTTTATAAACGCACCGCGAGCAATGGACATCCAGGTAAAAAAGAGGCAAATTAAATAAGGGATATTAAATTAATTAAATGCGTAGTTTTACTCAAATATATGACGTCCACGGGACGCGAATTAAGGGTAGAAAATTATTATTCGAAGATCACTAATTCGAATATATCCGGCTCGAAGGACCAGAAATGTGGCGGATTGGGATTATTTTACTAGATATAGTGGACTGTATTGAGAATCTAAATCCCCTGAAACGTTCAGTTACCGCAGTCACAAAATCACACCAAAAACAGCAACAAACTACTCACGGTCTTACTAGCCAGCCTCCCAAGATCAGCAAACGTTGACAGCTCCTGGTAGCTTCTTCTACACGGTAGAATACACTAGCAATTAGATTGTACACGGTACACTCTGGAGTAGTCCCTTTTTAAAGTTTTTGGAGAGATGTTCACATCACGAACACAAAGAGAATGTGTATATGGCTTGTCTCGCCTCCTACCCTCCTCTTCTCTTTTTTTTAACTCCACAGATTATTACAACGCATATTACGTCGCAATGTTGCCACTAGGTGTGACCGGCGCTCCGATCGTAGCAGATCATTGTGCCTCGGTATAAATTTTGTGAGTTGCGGTTTATTACTGAACAGTTACATATAATGTGTATTAAATTTAGTTTCAATTTTTTTTTCTTTTGATTGCTTCACCTACGACAAACTCTCACCATTCCATGGGTTGACTGGTAGAGAATGCCTTTAGGCATTATGTCCGCCCTTTGTATATTTTTTTTCTAAAGGGACGCAATAAAGTTTTTAAATATATAAATAAAATATATGTGTATTCCTTATTGTGTGTATTGTTACTTTAGAGATAGAATAGTTTTTGTCCCGATAAGTGACGCCCAATAGATAAATATGTTTCATTGCGAATTTAAGGATTTTGTAAAAGATCAAGGGTTGTTGGAATAAGCAGAACAATGTGTTATTTGTCTTTTGTAAACATTACTTTTTTACCGTAACGTTTACAGCCTATCAAAAGTCCACTGCTAAACAAAGGTATCACCCATAGTTTGCCTCATATGGAGGATATTGGCGGCAGATTAACATCCTCAGGTTTTAATTTTTTAGTTATCATTAGGAAGACGCTGCTGCTCATCTCTTGGTTTGTTTCCCTCTTTCCATAATATAGGGGTAGTGTATATTTTTACACCGCTACTACAAAGCAGGGATTGAAAACCGGTACCAATTTCGGTTCTGGTTCTTCATTTAGGTTCTTATAAAGGTTCCTCTTTTCGTTACGGTTCCAGTTCCGGTATCGGTTCCGGTTTGGGTTCCGATGTACCGGTTCTAAATACCGGTTCCGAGAACCTTTATATCTGATGATTTAAAGGTTCTCGGAACCGGTAATATACCTTTATATCGGTTCCTTGTCACCCGATTAAAAGATTCTTTATAGAAGAGGGGATGCGTTGGGAGCGTGCTTAGCATACCATGCCTTTTCTTTTAGTTCGCCTTCGTCTGTAGTATTAGAGGATACTATACTATACAATATACGAGTAAATAATTATTATTGTGAGTAATTAGGTTATATTAAAATGGATAAAGGTAAGTGTCTAATATCAATGTTTTGTATTCATTAACATTGTAGCTGCATTCATACTTTACATCGTATATTAACTATAATGTTCTTGTAAATATGTACGGGTATGTATGTTTGTATTTGATTAGTATAGTTGCAAGCCGTGGTAGCTCAGATGGTTAGCGCTCGCTGAAACCTTCTCAGTAATCGAGCAACCCGGGTTCGATCCCCGCCGGCACTAATTCTGATTTACCACGTGCTCGGCGGTGAAGGAAAACATCGTGAGGAAACCTGCATGTCTGAGAAATAATACAAAAATATTTCAAAGACATGTGAAGTTCGCCAAAACGCAATGGGGCAGCGCGCGCGGGCATTTCCTTACCCTAAAACCCTCTCAGAAATGAGAGGAGGTCTGTGCCCAGAAGTGGGACGTAAATAAGCTGCAACGTTACTTTACTTTACATGAACCCTGCATGTAATTGTGTATCCAATTTATGTAATATAATTAATAGGCAATTTTCAATAAACCATTTAGTTACCTATAGCTTTTCTAAAAGCTTGTCGCGGGGTATTTTATACGAGTTGGTTGGTTGATGGCTAGTTTTCATTTGATATGCTTGTTATTGTGAGGGGTAAGTCAGCTATAATAGTAATGAGTAATGATAGATTGTATGATAGTCTGGCGGTTTGAATCCTTGATATGTATTTATTTCCGACTGTTCTCGTGATTGGTGTCTGTTTTCTTTACATATTTGTTTTCTTACTTTCAGAAATAAAACGTACCTGTATTATTCCCGATACAGACGATGAATTGAAGCATTTGATAAAAAAAAATCTTAAGGAGAAATGTCAACTGACTGAATACACGGGAAAAAATAAAAAAAATGAATGTAATGAATGTCTATTGCACTACAACGATGTTGACGACAGAAATCATACTTTTTCTCAACTGATTGAACAAGAACTAAAGAATATTCAACCATGCATCAGGACTAGGTGTTACATTGACATACTTGAGTACTTACAGTCCGCAAAAGGAATACATAATAAAGATTTAGAGAAGACATAATCTAAATAACCACAAAAAGTGTAAAGTAATTTCAAATGTGATTATTAAATAGTTAGTTACATTAGTATGTCTCTATATTTTTTTAAAAATAAAAGTAATAAGATAACTTAAAAAATATATTTTATTTTATAACTGACCATTTAACATAACATAAAACTCGTTCTTTTATCAACTCTAGATAATTATTATTATAGACCTCTCCTCACATTGGTGCAGAGTTGAAGTATCGGGTCGCAAGCGCGAGATATTTTCATAACACAAATTTGTTTTTTAATAACGGGGATATAAAGATGAATATACTATAGGCGAAAAACTAGACTTGAAAAGCTTCGACTCTGCGCCAGTATGTATAAATCCTGTGCAAATTGACACGATATAGTTTCGCAACAAAACATTTTCATTCACGCTTCGATCAAAATATGAATGAAACTGTACTGTCGCGTCTATTTGCCCGGGCCTTAATCCGACGTTGGCCCCGATTAACAAATATTATAATTTATACTCTTATTTTTTTTTTAATTTTTATCAAAATATATCCTAAAAACAACAGCAATTTGCAAAAAACGTAATTTTGAATTTGGCGCCAAACATACAAGAAAGGGATTGGAATATTATAAGACCTGAAAAACAATTTTTAATATAAGTTTACTTAGATACTACATCTGGATATTCATTCTATCCAGATGTAGTATCTAAGTAAAATTACATAAAAATTGTTTGTCAGGTCTTATAATATTCCAATCCCTTCCTTGTTTTATTGGTAATTATAAGGGAGAAATTATCTAACTATTCTAAGCTTAGTAATTGATGCGCAACAGAATCGGGGATCTGTAATTACCTATGATCATAGTCAATCATCATAGTCATATAGGTTTATAAACTTTAAACATAATAATAAGATCTATGCTATGATGAAAATTATCAAACTGTTTCATTATCTGAATTATTTCTTAAGAATAAGATATCATTAATTAAGTCACTTTTTAATTTCGTTCGAAGTTTGTTGAATACAAAATTCAAAGAGGAAAATAACCTCTCCACACTGACTTGTGTACTAGGTGCAGCCAGTACTATCTTTGATAAAATATACAGGTCAGGCAATATATTTTTTTTCCTTTCCCAAAATAATAAAATATTTTTGCTCGGAGGAAGGCGCACCTGTCTGTTCAAAAATTCTTTTAAGTGTACTTTGATATCTGAGCCGTCTCCAGCGCAGCCATAGCTTGGATCTCCTCGCAGAGTATTATTATATGACTGATCCAAGAAATCTTCGAGCTGAGAACCTTCATTTTGCTGCTGCGTTGAAGTAGAGGCAACAGGAGAGCTAAACACTGTACTATCACGGTCTTGTTTATTTAATTTGCGCCACCTCATCCATGCACTAACCAACGCATTTTCTGCAATTTCCTGTTGATCAGTGGTTAACAGGAAGTTAACGCGTGGATCCATATATACAGCTGCGACAAACGCTTTAGATTCGAAGATGACTTTTTCCCTAATTTCCATGTTGCGATGTAATTCGCACGCGAGGGTGGTGTTTATCGCCTTCAGCTCTATTTTGCAATTTATCCAATTAAGGTAAAAGTCACCCATAGTCAGTTGTTCCATTTGTAACTTTTTAGTCAAGATTTTGCTTGGTTTTAAAGAGGCGACAGTAATCTCAATAGAATTCCACGTAGTTTCGGACAAATAGAGCTCATAATACTCTGTACATGTTGGCCGAAGTTCTAGTAGCCGAATAAGCATATCATAAGTCGAACTCCAACGCGTCGGGCAATCCACCACAGGTTTTTTAGCCCCCATTCTTTTTAGCAAGTGTTGGTACACTGTGGTGCGTAACTTTTTTATAACCTCACGCGCATTTGTGAGCATCGTCTGAATTGATGAAGATTCACTCCCTAAAGCGTCTAGTACCGCTAACTGCAACGTATGTGCAGCACACCTAACGGCCGCAACCGTGTAATGTTCACTTTCTAAGTAATCCTCGAGTATGAAATTTACTTCATCACTCGCCATCTCCATTATTTCATTCTCGTCATCATCCGAATCATCCTCATTTTCTTGGATGCTAGTTTTTAAGGCTTGTTCCACTAATCTGACCATTTTCAGCATATTTGCCCCATTATCAGTGGTTATGGAATAAATTTGGGAGATAGATATCCTGAAGCGATTCAATACATAAATTAATTGGTCCTTTAAAAACTCGGCTGTATGTCTTTGGGTGAGTTCAGTCACACTTAATGTTTTGATAACTATCTGGTTATTTTCGATGAACTGCAGGTTAATTCCTAAAAAACTTCGCAAATGGCATGATGCGATGTCTAATTTAAGACTTATAAGTTGCTTTTTAATTTTTGAAGCAATATCATCACGCAAATTGTCAGCTTTGTTTTGGGTGGCTTCACGAATTTTGTGAGAGTTTATGGGACTGTGTGAGCATCCTGCCTTTGCCATATCCAATATATTTTGAAAAGGTTTGTCATCAATCAAAGTTAGCGGCCTCCCACACGTCGTTACTAAATTTATACATTCACCCAACAGTTTTATTTCGAAATCTTGTTTGGATTTTTTCTTCCTATTTACTTCGACGTGTTCTCCACTTTCTGCGCTATTCTCTTGAAGTATAAGCTTATATTGCACAGGATGCTTCTTCATGTGTTTTAACAAATTTGTTCCATGATTTCCCTGTAAAAAGCATAAAAGCACTTTCATAAATTTACTAAAACTCGCAAGTTACTGTAACATGCAGCATCTTTCTAATATGGTTAGTTTGTTTAACGCAAGAGTATCTAACAAAATAATAAGTTATAACTTATTAATATGCTAAATTAAAAATTAGACAAGTAGGCAAACTTAAGTAATCGCTAACACCAAAAGCTTAAGTTCAGAATACCCAATTCTCAAAAAGGCAATTGAGTCTTAAATGGACCAATTCTCAAAATGAAAACTAGGCATTTTAAGAATTGGGCATTATAAGAATTAGGCATTTTGGGAATTCGGTATTTTGAAAATTGGGCATTCTGCGCCTAAATAATCACAACAATCAAGAAAGTTTGAAACAAATTGAATAAAACAAACAATGGAACAAATATCTAAACAAGAACGTTAAGCTTAGAAATATGTGTTCATCTTTGAGTACAGTTCACTTTAAATAAATACCATAAGAAGATAAATTAAATAGAATAAATGGAAGCTATTTCCAATTATGTATTAAAAATAACTTTTTTTAAATAGGAGGGGGGGGGGCAAACGAGCATGCGGCTCACCTGATGGTAAGTGACTACCGCCGCCCATGAACAACCGCAACACGAGGGGAATTGCAGATGCGTTGCCGGCCTTTTAAAAAGAAGTAGGCTCTTTTTTGAAGGTCCCTAAGTCGTATCGGTCCGGAAAAATCTCTGGTGGTAAACTATTCCACAAGGAAGTCGTGCGAGGAAGAAAAATCTTCTAAATCACACAGTGGTGGACCGCCAATCATCCAGATGGTGTGGATGGTATCGGGAGTTCTGCCGCGATGTGCGTTCGTGAAATTTGGCGGCTGGGATTAATCCGAACAATTCCTCAGAGCACTCCCCCTGGTAAATGCGAAAGAAAATGCAAAGAGATGCAACATCTCTTCGCAGCGCCAATGAGTCGAGCCGATCGGAAAGGACTCGGTCGTCGACGATTCGAGCCGCTCTGCGCTGGATGCGGTCAAGTGGAAGGAGCTGGCACTGGGGAGCCCCTGCCCAGAGATGGGAACAGTATTCCATGTGGGCCGAACCTGCGCCTTGTAAAGTTGCAGGCGGTGTGCCGGCATGAAATACTGTCCCGCTCTGCTGAGCACGCCAAGCTTTTTAGAGGCCAATTTGGCCTTCTCTTCCAAATTGACCACGAAACTGCACGTCACTCGGTATGTCGACGCTGAGGATTCCGATACTGGCTGAGGCAAAAAGGGGAGTACCTTGAAACTGAGGAGATACGACAAAGGGTTTCTTTTTAGCGGTAAACGCCCAAACTTGTGTCTACTGAGGGTTAAACTGGACTAGATTAAGTCGCCCCCAATCCGAGACTTTGTCCAGCAAAGACTCGACTTCAGACACAAGTTTGTTCCGGTACTCGGCGACGTTTTCCCGAAAAATATTGGCACGGCCGGTGTATAGAGCATCACCAGTGCTGTCATCCGCATAGCAATGAATGCTTACCGGTTTGCAATATATCATTGATATGCAGAAGAAACAGCGTTGGTGATAGTACTGGAAATGGAACTGGAAGTACTTTATACTTTTTTTTATTAAGGGGTCCCAAAGTAAACTTTGTTCGTAGTGTTAAATATTTATATTTATACTTATCTATCACTGAACAAAGTTCACTTCGGGACCAAGCCCGAAACAGCAAAATAAAAACTTCAATTCTTCCATACATTTATTATATTAGTCAATTTACTCTCTTGAATTATGAATTTGGTTGTAATATTTTGTTAGAAAAGAAAACACCAAATGCAATTCAGCAATAATACCGCCGCAGTCTTTCGAGCACAAGACACACATACATGCAAAAACAAGCATAACTATGTCCAACACATATACACAACCACAGTTGAATAAATTACATACATATTGTCACAGGTTGCGTTATCAGCTCAAGTCCGGGATCGCTAAAATATTGAAATAATATTTACGATATGTTTTGTTAGGGTTACTTACTAAACTAAAAAAACAACTGCTTCCTCTCTAGTTAATCATTAGACTCGGAACAACAATAATTTGTGTAACAAATTCACGAGTTCCGTGTGGGGCTCGAACCCGCATACATTATTTGCAATATTCTTCAAATACATACCTTTCATAATATTAATTACTATGAAACCACTTAAATCCTTTATAATAACGTAGTTTCTATAAAATTATAATTTATAACACTACACTAACTTATACCACTTATACGAAGGCAAATAGCTTGTTTAGCATATTAAATAAAAAACGATTAAATAATGACATAATTACTTAGGTACTTACCTTTATAACTGCACCACAGTCATTGACAGTACATGTTGAATGTTTTTGATGTTCATCATATATAAAATATTTATACACAAAATTAGATTTCTTTCGGCCCATTGTCAGTTTTCGTAATAATGATTAACTTAACGTCTTCTTCTTCAAATATATTAGTATACTAATATATTTTACCTATTACTATAATTATTCTATTACACTAATGTATTACAACTATTTATACACACAACAATCAAATACAAATGGGTAAACTATAATTTTATCAGTACGAACTCGAGCGAGTGGCGCGCGCGTATATGCAAGAGAAGATCCGCCAATACAAATGTGCTGTTTTACAAACTCCCCTATCCTCACACTCCGCCGTGCGCCGCATTGTGCCTACTACCCGACTGAACCTCAAACAACCTTGGACTCGCTTTCGCTTTGCTTAGGAACCGGTAAAATAAAGGTTCTTAAAGGTTCCAATTTAGGTTCTGGTTCCTGTTCCGGTACAGGGACCGTAACCCCTAAATACCTGTACTATACCGGTATTTTGGAACCATTTTCAATCCCTGCTACAAAGTCAAATTAAGCTACATTTTAACGTCTTTTGACTTTGCCTGTCTCGTACTTAATAATTCATTTTCTCCTTATTCGGGGCACTTCTCGAAATCCATCGAAATCTACGTTTATTAAATTCGGTATAATACTAATACATGTAGAGTAATAGCGTGCACATAAATACATAGGCTCTTAACTATTATTTCCTACCCATGCTTATTAGCAAAGTGACTAGGAGTTTAGTTTCGGCGCTGCAAGCTACGGGTTTCAATCCTGTACGGAAAAGGTGCTTGTATGGCCTAATTATAATTGTTCAGGGTCTGAATATTCCACGTGCAGTTAACGTATGTTAAAGCTCACCAACATAGGTGAAAATCTGGGAATTAAACTGGGATGCAGTGTTACGAAAAATCTAAGCAAAATCAGATCCGATAAGCAACTTATTATGTAAATTGAAGTGAAATCATATATGCCACCGCTGGACACATGCGTTATATTATGTTATTTGCACACTATAACTTTAGCAGAAATTAGAATTTTAGATAAATGTTAGATTTTTTCAGTTATTTATTTTGTTGTTTGAAGTTATATTTAATTAATTAATCTTAGCTAGCTATTGACCAGTTCATTCTTCATTACTTTTTTTCTTAATCGTCACAAGTTTTTCTTTGAGTTAAACAACGTAGAATTGGTGACTGTAATTATATTAGTGGTCTTGGTTAGATCCATGTAAACAAACAAGTTTGTTTACTTAATTAATAATGAAGCACGGATTGACCTCAAGATGTGTGTTTTACAAGGCCACTTAAACGACACACGCTAAGAAGATGTTTCTGTTTAGTACATTCAGCATACATGTTACAAAAATTATTTAATAATCCTCAAAAAATCGTAATGCGTTACAAACTAATCTTATCAAATGGTTCGAGTACTACGAGTATGCAATATAACTACGTGTATACAAAATGCATTGTATGAGATATATTTCAACGAAAGTTTTTCTTTTCTCTTTATACTGCTATTTATGCTGGCGTCCTTAAAATATATTAACACGCAGTTTTTTAGTGATAATTTTACATAATCATTTCCTATATAATACATTTAAATAATATTTTTTTTATCTTTTAATATATTTTCCTTACATAACCAAATGATTGTAAAATATTTTTAAATATAATTTCGGAAGTAACTAAAATTAGCTCTTACGTTATTTATAACATTTCATGTTCAGAATTGTAAATTGCTTATTGGCTGAATAAATGTGATACTTTAGCTGACGATCATTATATGTAGATTATATGATTTTCAAATTTAATATTAGAATATACGAGTAGCTGTATTCGCAATAAGTTCTGATATATGCATAACTATAAAAAATACACTGTAGTTAAGTATTTATGCCTACATATTTATGGAAGTCTAAGCATTTAATTAAAAAAATTCAAAGTATGATTAAAAACATCAGTTTTTAAACAGGCGTACAAAGTATTATGAGAACTAAGCACTATTCTATGAAGATTTAGACGCTAAACTCAAAATTCTCCGTAGATTTTTTAAGAAACTTAATTTGGGAGTCACGTTTAGAATAAATCATAACGATTAGCACTGACTAGAATTAACAGTCCAACGAGTTCATGTTTGTACTTGACGAGGGCCAGTCTTTAGCTCCATTAAAGTCTAAAACATTGTTTTTGTGCTAGGTTTGGGTTGATGATTTCTTATAATTACACGAATTCTACACATCTAATAAATTTAATCTTGCGGATTTTAACTCGTTATATTTGAATTGTTATAAGTTTTTTAATTCAAAACATTTCGGGTGCTTTGAAATCTGAACGTAATTCGTCTTAATTATACCACAAAAATTGGCTTGGAAGTATAACTGCTCAGATTAATAAACAAGTGCTCTTAATTGTTCACAAAATGCCCAAATCAAATCCGCAATTGCTCACACTAAAAATGAATTATTTAGTTAGTTATTAATAATTAAAAGTACAAAATTGTTTTTGCCTATTATACTTAACACCAATAAACTCTTCTAAAAATCAATAAGTGCCCTGAATTGCTCATAAAATGCTTTATTTAAACCCGTAATTGATCACACTATTAACTAATTATTTAATCAGTTATTAATAATTAAAAGTACAAAATTATTTTTGCCTATTGTACGTAAACCAATGGACTTTCTTAAAAAAAATTGCAAGTGCATGTGCAAGTGGCTAAAGTAAATATTTTTATATAAACTCTAAAAATCTTTGTTCGTTCAGTTTTTTTTTTCTGAAAAAGCTCTTTGAAATTATTAATTTTAATTTAGACTTCGTTAAGTAATTTATTGTAAATTATGTAGAACCTTAAGCAAGTTAGCGTTATTATTAGGTCCTTACATATGATATTGGCGTTTTGTCCGGGAGGAATATAAAGTCATTATTTTTTTGTAAAATATATTTAATTAATCAAAGTATGCACCGTTGTTATCTATGCACTTTTGCCATCTCATAGGTAGTTCATTGAACCAATTGTAGTATCTAACTTATTGGTTGTTTGTTGTGCAGTGTGTGGTCTTGCGTTGTCGTGAAGCAGCAGTGGCCTAGAGCGATTGACCATTCGGGATTGTTTAGCAGCTAGATCTTCCTTCATAATTTTCAGTTGCTGACAATAGATATCTGCCGTAATTGCTTGGCCAGATTTTAGATAGCTGTAGTGAACGACACCGGCGCTAGTTCACCAAACACTCACAAGTAACTTTTTCTGAGTCAATTTTCGTTTAGGGCAGGATTTGGCTGGGTCTCCGGGGTTCAGCCATTGCGACGAGCGCTTGCGATTATCGTACAGTATCCACTTTTCATGACAAGTAATGACTCGATTTAAAATCCCTTCATTATTGTGTCGGTTGAGCAAAGTAACACAGCAGTCGACGCGTGTTTGCAATTTCAATTCACTCAATTCGTGAGGTACACATCGTTCAAGTTTTTTTTACTTTCCCGATTTGCTTCAAGTGGAATATTACAAATTTATCACTAAACCCCGAAGCCTGCAGCTATATCTGTAGTACTTTGTGATGGATTCCACAATAGCCTTTAATTCTTCATTTTTCACTTTGGTATCCGGCCCTCCACGGGGTTGGTTCTGAAGGTCGAAATTTCCAGAACGAAAACGTTGAAACCAAAAACGTACCGTGATTTCTTTTGCGACACCAGCGCCGCACACATCATTAATCCTTCGAACTGTTTCTGCAGCATTCGTGCCACGGTAGAACTCTTATTCGTAAATATACCGATATTTTATGTTTTCATTGTGTACCGATATTTTATGTTTTCATAAGCGACGCCAAAGAAAAAAATTATGAGGAAAAACCAAATGTATGACTGTTTTCAACACTCAAATGTACCAGCTAAATTAATTTATAAATTTGAATTTGGAATTCTTAATTAAAGTGGAGATATTTCAGATCAAATTGGTCAGTACGACAAAACGCTAATTTAATATGTAAGGACCCAAATTAAAGCTAAAACTCCAAAATTCAATTTTATAATATTTTAATGATTAACATGAATAATTTTTAGCTTCAAAATTGTTTCCTTTTTTATATCAGGAATATTGAGTACTTAGTATCATCATCATCATTACAGCCCTTCACAAGTCCACTGCTGACATAGGCCTCCCCCAAGGAATGCCACAAAGCACGGTTCCGAGCCACCTACATCCATTGACTTCTTGCATGTCTTACCAGGTTGTCACTCCATCTATAATATAATCAAATCTAATTGGGAAGTGACCTCACACGTAAAAAATACTGATAAATCCACGACGAGTGAATAAGGGTCTTTTTCAAGCAGCTTCTATTTGAGACCCTTACAATCACGCGGCGTGGATTTATCAGGACTGTTTTACGTATTTATAGACATGTCCATCTAATTGATATCGGTAATTACTGAAGTGTAATAATAATTCAATCATAATATATTTATTTATTTATTTATTTTTTTTTTTTTTTTTTTTTTTTTATAGGATCGGGTGACAAACGAGCACACAGTTCACCTGATGGTAAGTGGTTACTGTGACCCATAGACATCTACATCTATCCTCAATAAAGACTCAAGATGCAGATGCGTTGTCACCCGTGAGGACTAAGATGGAATGCCTCTTTGCCAGTAAAAAGGGTCTCCGGTTCTCTACACTCACCATACGAAACACAGCAGCGTTAAGCTGCTATTTTACGCTGGTTTTCTGTGAGAGCGTGGTTCTTCCCCGGTCGAGCCGACCCATTCGTGCTACAACCATAATATAGCTGCAGCATGGCTCTACCACGTATAAAATTATTTATTTACACTTACCAACATTGCGGCTACATTTTGTTATAACATTATATATATGTACTTAAATTATAGATGAGTACAATACTTTAACATTAACGCAATTACTTTATTTAAAACAATACTAAAAATTTATGTGTGAGGTTTAAGTTTTGTTAGAAGAAAAGACATATTTTTTAAGTGAAAATATAGAATAAAGTTACATATTTACATATATGGCTATTTAATTTTATTATCATTTAAGATGAA